CAGTCAGATTGGAGCAACATACAATGGAGGAACTCAGTACAGTAGTGAGCATCCCAGTTGTCTGGATCAGGAAGGGATTGGCACTTGTCTCTGCTACTCTTCTTACAAGCCCTCTAGCACCTTTCAAGATAAGATATAATCACCAATAAATTCAGAATGTACAGCTCAACCCAGCCTTCACACATACTACTAGAGGGCCTAGGTCCTCAACCTCTAAGCTTTAGGACACACTACTGACACCACTACTCACTGCTCCACCAGAATGGCTGTATATTTTTCCCACCAAAAGTAGGGCTATTGCACCATACGTTCATGGTCTCTGTAAAGAAAAGAAATCATTGTCTTGGTTTATATTTCTTTTAAAAACAAATGTTCTACAAATTTAAGATCCTAAACAGTAAATGCTAAAGTTTTCAAAAGAAAACATTTCAATTTTTAATAAACACAGAATATTATACTTATAAAAATACAGTAATATGCATGTGCCATAAAATTAAAATATGCAAGCCTTTTTAAGTACCAATGCTTATTTCATGATTCCTTAATTCAGGGACTCAGAAATATTTTTCAGGGTTTCAAAATAGCTTTATAATTATTTTTAAGATAATAATGAATAAAATAATCCCCTGGACATGGCACACCCCTAGAGTCCTAACAGAAGTCAAAGGAGGAGCTACACAGCTAGTCCAAGGACAGCTGAGGCTACACACACGACCTCTTCTTTTAAAGAAACAAAAAGAAAAGCCAGATGTGGTGGCTCAGCCTGTAATGCCAGCACTAGAGAAGTAGAAGCAGGAAGATCCAGAGTTCAAAGCCAACTTGGGCTACATAAGACTGTGTTTCAAAAACAAAAACTTGCATAGAAAATGTTCCTTCAGGTATGGACTGAGAAAGTCCACAGGGAAGTAAGAGATACCCATAACCACTTTAACTGAGTCAATTCAGGTCCATAAAAAGGGTCCTGAGGAGACCCAAATGAAACTGCTGTCCCTTCAATCTGCTATGAAGGTTAAATTACTAAAACAGATAACAAAACTGTATCAATCAGAAAAAGATCCAGAATAAACAAATCGCAAGGGGTAAATATAATGGCAGAACCACAGATGAACAGAGCCTGGAAAATTAACTATGTGCAGGTATGAACTTTATTTGTAGTCCAATTTGAACAAAACAATCCTGAGATTTTCATGATGTTAACATTCACTGACCAAAGATTTGAATCAATATAAAGGAAATGCTAGAACTCTGGGAATGACAGTGATAGTATGGTTATTTTTTAAAGCCCACATCTTTTCAAAGAGCTAAACTGTAATAAATGTTGAAGCAAGGTAGTGTATACATACAGTCATACCCCATGATAAAAAGTACATCAGTATTTATTATTGTCTAAAATAATCAGTTTACTATAGGATGCTTATTATATGCCAAAATTATAAAAACTGAGATTGATGAGGAAAATAAGAAAAAAAAATAAAGTTCATGTGTAAGGCTAATTGCTTTGTCATTAGACAATGCTAATGACCTCAGCAATAGACAATTTAAACTAGCTAAGGGGGCTGGGTATAAAAACAACAGCTAGAGTAAATGAACTGTAAACTATATGCTTCACTTAAAGGTAGTCAATATTTTTTTAAGCTATAATCAACAAAATTTGTTTTTAACTAGATATTCAAACTACCCTCATTTTAGGCCAAATATGTCATTTATGGCCAAGATCTCGAGAAATAAGGGGTGGTACAACTGATGTATTCCTTAAAGGAAGAGTAAATTCTGAGGAGTGCCATTGTTGAAAACATCATGGCTTATACTTTACAAACTAGAGAACTATGAAGTCACAGAATGATAAAGTCCTCATCAAAAGAACAGTTAGTTAACAATATGGTCTATCCTTTCTGGTAAGCTGACACCAGCTTATGCATTTATATGCATTATGCTTGTCTGTATTCATATCAACTGGCCACAAACAGATGACCTCAAAAAAACTATAGGGGTAGAAGTCATGTTTAGAATGTTTGAGGTCTTGGAGTCAACCCTTATTCAATCCAAAAAAAAAAAACTAAATAAATGTAATAACTAACCCTTCTGAAGACTAAACAAACGCACAAATACACTGACACATTCCCAGTTTTCTCACTGGATAAGCAGGAACTCCAACTTCAGAAATTATTATATGTGCTCTCCTATATTCAAAGGAAGGAAGTAAAGACTCTCCAGAGCATCAGCCTATTAACAGAGTACTCTTCTTGGCTTCAAGACCCGGGATCCTTTGCATCACCCTGCACAGCCACTAAAAATTAAGAAAGCACTGACTGAAAAATACACAATTCTTTACTTCCTGCTTAAAAGAAAACTTGCTACCCCATCCAACTTTTCACTTACATTTAAATCTTTACTTTGCCACTCATAAGCTAACTGGCCAAATTAAATAAGCCTCAATTGCCTCCCATATAAATGATATGCCACCATTAGAGTTAAAAAGACTTATGTGATACAATGTCTGCCACTCAATTGGGAGCTCTTGCTATTTTCACCAGGAAGTATAATTCAGTGGCCAATTCAAATAAGATACAAATTATTTTTAAAGTGTCTGTTGAATACAGTGTAGCCATGGCCTGAGCACAGTGGATAAAAAGTATCTCCTGGGGCTGGATATATAGCTCAAAAGTAGGACACAGACTCCAGGCCCAGCTACTGTGGCTGCTGAGGCAGGAGGAAGTTGAGACAAGGGGATCAGCTTGAACCCACGAGTTCAAAACAGGGAGGCTAAAACTCTGTACCTTTCAAAAGGGAAAACAGCTCCTCCAAGAAAAGAAATCACTATTTATAAGAAGTGCTATTAGCAAACTAGACCAAAACTCGGAATTCCAACTTTCTAAAACTGATACAATGAGCACCTGAACATGAGAAAAGACAAGCCACTCTATTTCCAAAAACTTACCTTTTTGCACCTTTCTTTTGCAGATTTGAAATTCAGATTCTCACACAATCACTGGCCTCTTCTTCTGTTTGATTCAATAGCATACACATTAGAGTGTCTCTCTTGCTATTAAAAACACCAGCAGAAAGCACTGTCTTAAGCAGCTTTCTAACTATGAAAACTAAAGCATTAATGAAAACACTAACCCAAAATTACAAATAATAATAATAATAATAATAATAAAATAAAAACAAAACAAAACCCCTGAAGACTAACAAAGTATACAGACTGACAGAACAGGTGCCCATTGCCCCCACACCAAACCACCATATTCCAGTATGAATTTAAAAGAGTTGTTCCCAAACGGAAAAGGATTCCTGTGTATTGACGGGAGGTCAAGGAATTAAAAGTAAAGTATAAGCCAGGATATGGGGTATGATGGGAAATGCCTGTCATACCAGTACTTGGGAGAGGCTGAGTCAGAAAAATTGCAAGTTCGAGGCAAGCATGGACAACTTAACCCAGACCATGTCCCAAAAAATAAAAGAAAGACAGGCGGGAGAAGGCTGGGGTGTGTGTGGCTCAATGGCAGGATGCTTGCCTGGCATGCAGGAGGCTCTGGGTTCGATCCCCAGTACAGCAAAAAGAAATTAAATAAATCCATAACACATCAAGCACACTAATAAACCATTTCCAAACAGGTGAGACACCAGAGTGTGTGTGCTGTTGCAGGAAACAGAATGGAGAGCCATGAATGGGAGTCTCTGCACTTCCTATCTGCAAAAGAAGAGAATAAAAAGGTTAACTCTAAAACTGAGAACAGATTATCTTCTTTACTTGTTTAAAGCAGTGCCCAGAATATTTTATATAAAAGACGAAAATATACTGGTTAAGACAGAGCTTTGTAGGTGAATTCAACCTTCCAATCAAAACATAAATGTAACTATAAATATAGTCTCAGAAGTCATTTAAGAGTCAATTCCTAGCACTTGCCAAAGAAAAACTCATTCGAACCCACCACTTTGAAATTAAAGGTTTAAAAAACAAGGGTCTCATCCTATCTTCAGATTTCTTTAAGCCGTAGGTAAAATTAGCAAAATGTGCCTCCTTTTTGAAGAGTTACCCTCCGGGGAACTACTTCCAGCAGTGAGAATAACAGTTTTAAAAAAAAAAAAAAAAAAGGTTCATTAATTCCAGGCTCTTCTTCCTCTCTTAACAAGTGACAGGTAACCTTTAGGGAAGCCCAATGCACACACCCCTTTCCTCAACCCCGCTAAAGTTAAAGGTTGACTTGAGGACAGACAAGTGCCTCAGCAGCACCTTCTCCCCCGCCCGGCACCCGGTCCTCCTCCGGGGGGGATCCATCTGCATTTTGCATTAACCCATCTGCCCCAGTGTGCGAGCCAGGGTCGCAGAGGGCCG